TAGGGTGCCTCCCCCCGACCCCTGTTTGGGGCTGAGTGTCCATTCCCACCTCCCAGCACAACCCGACCTTCCCCATCAGTGGGGCACAGGGGGTCCCCGCTGTCTCCCTTGTCCTCCAAGGGCACTCCGGGAGCCAGGATGCTCCAGTTGGGAAAGATGCAGGATCTAAAGAAAAGGACATGGCTGGAACATCCTTTTGCAGGAAGGCAGCAAGCGCTCTCCCCGGCGAGAGCGCTTGCTGCCTTCCTGCAAAGCAAGATAGAGCAGCCAGCTCCCACTGGGAAAGGCCACAGGCTCTCCCCCGCTCACACCACCCTCACCACTTGCCCTCCCCAAAAAGACCAGACCGGGAGCAATCTGTGTTGGCTGGGGTTTTATTATTTATTAACACAAACTGACAGAAGAGAAAAAAAAACAAGAAGGAAAGGAAAAAAAAAAAAAATTCAACCCCAAACAGAAGCATTTTCACACCCTGTCAAGGTCAGGGTGGAAGGAAGGGAAAAAGAAGGCGACGGTTAGAAAATGGGGACCTGCAGGGGCAAGGAAGAGGCCGTGCTCTGCCCTTGTTACGCAAAGGCTGCGAGGGGAGGAGGGAAGGGAAACGAGATGGGATTTAAGACACTGTTGGCACAACATCGCAGATGATCAGCGAAATGGGCTACAGGAGGAGGGGGGAAGAAATCGAGAGGCTGCCCGGGCTCGCTTGCAGCCAAGCGCAGGCTCTGCTGCAGCAGAGCCCAGGAGCTCCTCGCCTGCTTCCGAGAGCCCGCACTAAGCCCTTGGCGCAGGGAAGGCAGGTAAGCAGCTGCTTGGTCCAGTTTAATTCCAGTGGGGCCAAGGCAGACACCGAGGCAGGTCTGAAAGCCGAAATGGATGCAGGCAGCTAGCAGAGATGAGCTGGAGGGGGAGGAAGGGGAGGGGGGCCGGGACAGAGCAGAGGATCATTGGTCAGTGGCCTGCCGACCACCACAAGGCAGGTTTCCCAACGCTGAGCTCCATTTGATGCCCTGCTGGGCAAGAGCTGGGCTAGGCTGGCACACATCAGCCGCCAGCCACCAGTTAGCTGCAGGAGCGCACTATTTACAGCACAAAAGCCACAGTCCTGCTGTTTTCTCCTCCCCCAGAGCACTGGGAAGCAAGCTTATGACGCCTGGGTTCATCACAAGTAATCCACTCCTCCTCTCGGGACAAGCACCGCGGTGGCCGGGCTCCAGCTACTGCCTGTGCGCCAAAGGAAAGGGAGAAAGAGAAGCTTGCTGCGCCAGCAGGATGCAGAGCCAGGAGCAAGGACATGCTGGCAGGGAAGAAAGCTGTCCCCGGGCTACCTGCAGCTGAGTAGCAGTCTTAAAAGGGGATAAAGCAACTGGATCTGCTTTTATTCAGCTCACTCATCTAAACAGATGTGTAAACAAGAAGTGACAAGCAACTGGGTGGACGCGGCACGCACCCCCCGTGTCACACACTGCTTGGGCGGATTGGGAAACCTAACTACATCAGACAATGGCATATAGTTGAAGCTGAAAATGTGGTGGTTTTTTTTTTTTTTTTTTTTTTTTGAAGCTGTAGTATCAGCATTTGCTGGTGTTGAGATCCCCGGAGGCGTGCTGCAGTGCTACAGAGCAGCCCTTTGGCTGGGCGGGATGGTCCGACAGGCCGGCAGCGAGCCAGCGTGCCCAGTTTGTTGCAGAAGAGGTCACCTGTTCCTGGTTCTTTGTAAACCTGAGCTGTTTCTTCCCCGGTCCCCCACCTCCCCCAGCAGTCATTGCGGAGGCAGAGGGATGCCCCGTGGGTCAGTGACTTGACCCTCTTGCAGGTTCTTGACGAGCTGAGCCAGCCAGCGCTTTGTGGTGGTGTCATCCTTCAGGACCTGGGCGAAGGTGGTGTCCTTCAGTTGGTCAGGAAGACACTGCCTGAGAGCTTCACGTGCCCTACATCAAGAGACAAGAAACGGGGCCCAACAAATAAACTCACAGGGGCAAGTGGGGAGCAAACCCCGCTGGGGACACAACGCTCCTTTGCCTGGGGGTCTTGCTGGCAGGGCCAGCCAAGGACAGCACCAAGCAGCAGCACCGCACCACCGTGGCACTCGGCCAGCCAGCACGGCTCCTGTCCCCCATGACAGACCACACCGAGCCAAGCCCTGTGCCCTGACACCTGTCAGCCAAGAGCAACACC